GGGAGGGAACAGGCCGGGGGGAGGGAGGAGGTAACTCAAATGAGAGAGGAAAGAAAACTCAACTCACACTGCTATAAAGATCCTTCAGATTCTTGGTTCTGTCATAATCCACTGTTTCCAGTATTGTCGTATACTTGTCCTTAATCTGATGATAATTTTCTTTATATCTCACCTACAGATAAAGAAAGATGGGTTATTCTTTTCTGCTGTTGAAAGATGTAAAGACAAATGAAGGCTCGTTCTGGAAGAGAAGGCAAGTAAGACGCACCTCGCTGGCATTGATGCCGCTTTGAAGAGCAGTCACGTAAACTGGTGTGTCTGTGACCAGGCTATAATTCTGCAGATTCTCTTTACTCGCTGCGGTGTATTGTATCTGTGAAGGAGAACCAAAGTCTCTATAAGGGTAAAGTATGGGTCTACAGTCAGATTTAGTCATTTGTGCCTACTTAGATGAGCCCTTATTCATAAGCTGGGTTTCTGCATCACTCCTAACAAAGAGGCCACCCTTGTGTCGTCCTGCAGATTTTGTATGGCTGTCAAAACTAATCGCTTCTCCTGACCAAGAGTGAGGTCTGGATCTTTTCTGGGCCCCCCTTCCTCATTTTGTTGTCTTTCCCACACCTATACTCCACCCTGGCGGCAGCCCCTCAATTTCAGCATTCCATTAGTCTGCTCCATCCAAGCTGAACCATACGCTGGGAGATTTCCCAAATATCTATGTTTTCACTACAGAGCTTACCTACCTGCGGTCAAAGCATGCATTTGCATTCTACTATCTACATGTTAACCTGATCAACTAAGGTACTGATGCTAGAGGTAGTTTACTAGGAAACACCTCCGAGACAACGTTCTGTTAGAAATGTCTAATGCCTTAAACTACTGAGAAACGCACACTGAGAGGGTCCAGCACAGAGCAGGCCACCAAGAGAGGTGTGACTGGGCAGTGGACCTTTGGCTCCCTTTCCTCATGTGCTGTTAGAACAGTGTTCTCTGCCTGGGCACCGGGACAACCTGGGTAAACCCCACTGACAGCACCATGGGTTCCATTGGTCCGCAGACAATTAGTCCTTCTAGGAAGATTGGCTTACCTGACTCTGAAGGTCATACGACTTCTTGGCTTGCAAGATCTGGGGTGTATCCCAGACATAGCATCCAATGCCTTTCAGCCAATTCAAGTCATCTTTATACACATTCTGCAAGAAAGAAGAAGTGGTGAAAGACCTAAGTACTCAATGAATTTGCAATGGAATGCTTTGATAATTTCCGATCAGCTCTTGGCTGTACGTGGTGCTTAGTGGGTAGACTTCTCAAGAGCTGGGAGGTCTTTAATGCCCTGGCCTAACAAAGCTTAGGAGGAGAACATTAGATAAGTTTTATCTAAGAAACAGAACATGGATATCCATGGCTCAGAAGGAATTCTTACACCAAAAAGTGGCTATTCATGCCACTTTGTGTTGAAAAGCAGCAGGGTTTATGAATAGACGGATCATTAGATAAGACTGGGGGTGGGGTTGGGGCGGAGGAAGCAAGGCAGGCTGGGTGAATCCTGTAATTAAGCTAAGCTGCAGGAATGACTTACGTCACTCAGGATCTCCTGTGCGTTCCGGGCCACTAGAATACTGGGTTCTTCTGGGAGGGACGTCCACTGGTGGAAGTAGTGTCGGTACTCCAGGTCGCTGAGGATGTACTGGCACTTTTTGGCCAGCACATGGTTCATCATATCATTGGGGATGTGGATATTTGCTTTGGTGTCCTCATAATGTTTTCTGTAGTTCAACTGAAGGAGAATATTTTTTAAAGACAAACATAAGAAAGGAAAATGTAAATTATCCAGATCCATCTCTTAAGAGTTTTATTTCCAATATAGATCAGTACCTTTAGAATAGACTAAGGTTAAACAAACATACTATAATATATTCTTTTGTAAAAATTTCCCATGACTTTATAACACAGGATAAATAGTGACCTCGTTGTCAAATACAGAGCCCTCACTGTGTGTTTGGTAATGAAGGAGGGAGGGGATGGAGGGTGGAAGACTCAAAATCGGCAAAGACACGCACGCTAAATGGCAGGGGTGGGGAAGTCTCAGGATCGACTCATGCCTCCCCACCCCATCCCCAGCTAATCTCGCACCAAAGGGCAGATCAGAAGTCAAGTCACAGTGAACTTTGCTTACCGCACTCCTCATCTTTTGGAAATCCAGGCAGTGAACCACACCAGGGAACTCACTGATTTCTTTCCCAGCCAGGTAGTGACCCTTCTGCTTCTCAAATGTCTCTTTGTATTTAAGCTGTGAAATAGGTACAACATTGAGAACAGCTGGGATATTTTAACCAGCCCTCGTTCCCCAATGAAGACCCTCCAGTCTCTGAGAGGAAAAAGTCCTACTGACCTCACTGTTCACATAGTCAGCATGCTTGGCTCCAACAATGGGGATGTAGCGTTCATCCAAGGTATAGCCGTAGGCCTTGGTTCCCTCCCACGCCCCCTTGTACAGTATCTAGAACAAAGAAAAACGTGTGTCGACAAAAGTTTACTTTCAGATACCACCAAAAAGAAAGTGGTAAAATCAAGGTGAAAGATTTATGTTTAAAGGCAAGGCTTAGATCTCCGTTTACAGCCACTAGTATACCTACCTAAGAACAAGGTAGAGTCTTTTGGCTTGTTGCAAAGGAAATCTACAAACTCTGAGGCATTTTATAACAGAGGTTAACTATATTTACAGTTCTAAAAAGAGCGAAAACCAATTTGCTCCTAGTGAGAAGATCACTGAAAATTGCTTTCCGCTGAGATTAAACACACAGACATACTATGTGCACACATACATTGTCCTTTAAATTAGCCCAATTAAAATTGGAGGGCAAGTCCTCCATTCCTTGGCTGGAGATGTTTGTACATGACTGCTGAAAAAGGACCAGCCTTTTTTGTCTTTTCTCTGATGGTGGGTGCTCAGTTCTGTGTGCCCCCAGAACTGGTACAGCACTTGTTACATTATTTGTGGGTCTTTTCCTCTCACTTGTATGAGCTCTTGAAAATCTTGTCTCATTTGAGCTTTAGCTGCTCAGTGCCTCCTACAGCTCCTGGCACATCACAGCAGCTCAAAATATACCAGGTGAATAAATGCTACATGCTCTGAACAATATGCTACTTTTAATAAACAAAATTAATACAATAGATGTAGTAGATTTCCTTTAAAAGTCCATTTGTTCACAAAATCATCCAAGAATGTGAGTACTGACAAGAGCATAAAGTTAGGAACTGAGATGTAGATCACATAAAATAGAACTTACTGTACTGTAGAGTTTTCCCATGTCTTTGGAGTGGGTGATATGTGGTGTCTCCGGAGAAAATATATACTTGCCCTTTATTAATTTATTAAATGTCTCTTTATATTTTATCTAAGGAGAGCAAACAAAACAAAACAAAAAACCTCTGGTTACTATAAATGTATATTTAAAGTTTCATAAGATCTACCTAGTAAGATAATCAGACTACATTTAGAGATTAAAATTGACTGGAGATTAAAATTTCAGTCCATTTCAGCTAACACAATAGAATAACTTGGACAAAAATGTGGATGTTATATAAAAGTGGGTACAATTATGCCACCTACTAGTGGCTTTTAAGACATCCTCTCCCAAAGATTATCTTGCAAACCCTCCTCCCTCAGTTTTCTTACAAGCCAATCTGTTCAATGATAGACAACTAGTTTCCCAGTCTATGCACCTCATTATACACAAGGCAAACTTACATCACTTTGATTGACTGAGTTAATCTTGGCCAAAACAATCTCTGGAGGGTCTTCCACACTTGTAAAATTAGGATAGTTGTCGAGAGCAGCTTTCTTATATTTCACCTGCAAAGACAGAGATGATGAAGACAGGTCTCCCCCTACAGAGTACCCATTCCCACAGGGCAGGTAAGGAGGACAGGCAATTAGGTAAGAATAACAGGCTTTGTGTACCTGATTCACCATTTCTTGGTTTTTAGTAACCCTCACATGCTCCACAGAATCCAGGGGGATCCAGCCAATGCCTCGTAGCCACTCCAGGTCGGATTTGTAGACATTCTAAGAGCAGGAAGAAAGATGTAATACAGGAAAAATGACCGGACACAGGGTTACAGACAGTAGGTTAAAAACAAAGTTTTTTCAGCTTTTAAAGGATTTCAATCTTTTGTAGCTGTTGTCTTTTCCATTCAATCATGATTTCATCTGTACATCTGAGCAATAAGTCTCGAACCTCTTACTATGAATGAGGACCCTCCTTCTAGTCAAGCCTGCCTCTACACTTCCCCACCTAGCTCCTGGATTCTCCCAGCACACCCACACGGAATAAAGAGGAGTTACTAATATGATTCAAGTTCCACAATGGTCTTTCTGCTGAGGTTCAAGTTCAGCACCTGTGCCACAGGCAGTCTTTTACTTCCTGTTTCTGTGTTGGTGGTGATGGGACCCATGCAGGGTTAGCTCCTTCGTGTGCCTGAGCATCACGTCAATGCATCCTATATGTTCCTACAGACAGCTGGTGTCGGGTAGAGACCTTGATTCAGGCCTCAGTGCAAGGCGGCCTAAGTCACATTATCTACCCTAGCTTTACCACCATCTGAAGGAGAAATTCTGGGCCCTCATGTGGCTCATCAGTATTTTGCAACCATTTTGCTTTGATTCCTTGCAAGCAACTACTTCATTAATGCCTCGAAGAATGAGATGCTTGGCAAAGCAAGAATGGGGCATTCCCAGGACTATTCTATCAGGCAATGTTGTCAGAATCTCAGCTCAATGCCCACCCAAGCCAATTATTATTTTAAATCAGTTGATAATTTTTTATACAAATATGAGTGAGGAGTTGCTAATGCAATGGTACAAAAGCAGCAGATTAAACACCAAAATGAGGCTGTAATTTACTCAGAATGCAGCCAGTAGGTAGTGCTGTCACTCACTCACTGCTCCTGATCTTGCTCTACTTCATATCCAGCTTCAGTTCCTCCTGGGCACAAACTAAATATTTATGGCTCCAAGTTTCAAAGAGTGGTGGTTCTGGAATGCTACTTATAATTTTCAGGGTATACTGTATGTTTCTAAGTAATTAAGAAACAAAAGTCACTTACATCACTCTGTAGTTCATAGGCCTTCTTGGCCTGAATAACATCGTTTTGGTCAGGATGACATGTCCATTGGTGCAGGTAATTACGGTAATCGATATCACTGATAAGGGACTGCCCTTGCTTGGCAGCCAGCACCGACACCGTGTCAGCAGGTATGTTGATCTTGGCCTTTGTTTTATGATAGTCCTCTTTGTACAGTCGGTCATTCTGGATCTGGCCCGCGTGCTCAAACCACACTAGGTTGGGATCATCCCTCATGGTCGGCACGCCAACATAATGACCTTTCTGCTTTACATGCTCAGCTTTGTATTTCAGCTGGTGGGGAGAAGCATGGAGATGCATTCCATCAGCTTTGATAAGCGCACAGTGCAAAAGGGACGTTGGGCATCAACATATTCAGCACCCCCTCCCCCCAACAACCCCCACCCTGAGAATAAATAACAAAAACATTGAAGTAGATAAATATTAAAAATATCAACTTAAATATGGGTGGGGGGAGTCATTTGTTTTCTAATTCTGGCAGTATTTTATTTGAAGGCCTAGCAATCCTAGGAAAACCAGGGAAAAGAAGAAAAAGTGAAGATGGTGATGGATGTTAGCCAGACTTGTGGTGATCATTCCACAATATGTACAAATACATATTGAATCATTATGTTGCACACATAAAACTAACATAATACCATACACACACACACACACACACACACATATATGTCAATTTTACCACAATAAAAAAATAAATAAGAAAAAGTAAAGAACTCAAACGATAGCCTTTAAAGAAGCCAAGGATGGGGGTGGAGTGGGGGACTCCCAAAGCCCATGGGTAAAGGATCAGAAGGGAGCAGGTATCCCCCCCCACCACCCCCAGCCTGGCCATGGTGCTATGCCGTAGCATAACCGGGTTGCCCCACGTGCAAGGCCCAGCCTTTGCAAAGTGCACTTATAACAGGATGAGTTACCTCGCTCTGAACATCACTAGAATGATGGGCATGGACAAACGGCACAGCATCCGGAGGCAAGATGTAGCCTGTGGCCTTCTGTTTCTCCCAGCCTTCCTTGTAGAGGTACTAGAAGACAGAGGGCCACAGCAAAGGGTTACACTGAAGAGTCAGAATGGAGGGAGAAGTCGTGTGCAGACATCTCCGATGGTCCCCACCCAAAGTCCCAGGCATCTGGGTAAAATCCATACCTGGTCCAGTATCCGGGCTGCCTCCTGGGCAGTGTGCAGCAGGGGGGTTTCTGTGAGGGTGTACTTTGATTTGGTGTCATTCCAATCTTTCCGGTATTTAATCTGGAAACCAGAGGCAAGAGGTAAGCTAATTGATGTTAAGGAAGCATCATGTAAGCAAAGTAGCATCAGTGATCTATCTCAATGATTAAAATCTGTATCTCAGACAATGACTGCCTGCTGAGTGTGTGTGAGTAGGTGGAAAAGCTTTGGAAACGACATCTTCATGATTGCAATTTTAGAACGGCAGCCATGTACTTACATCATTTAGGATTTCACCACTTTGTTTCGCGGTCACATAATCAACTCTGTCATCCACAGGAGTAAAGTTCAGACTTTCGATTTTTGTGCGATACTTATTCTATGGGAAAGAAAATAGCTTTTAGACAGTCGTAGTCACTGGTCCTGTGTGAGCTGAGAAAGATATGTTAAATTTAAGGATCCTTTTCTACAAGACGCATACAGCACCACATTTGAATGGCATCTTCTTGGCAATTTGGCTTTCTTCTTAGCATTTTATTACGTATTTATTAATTAAAAATATTTTTATTGATTTCAGAGAGGAAGGGAGAGGGAGAAAGAGATAGAAACATCAATGATGAGAAAGAATCACTGATCGGCTGCCTCTTGCACACCCTCTACTGGGGATCGAGCCCACAACCCGGGCATGTGCCCTTGACCGGAATGGAATCAGGAACCCTTCTGTCTGCAGGCCAATGTTCTATCCATTGAGCAAAACCAGCTAGGACCTTAGCATTTTATTTTTGAACAAATGGCTGGCTTCTTATGCCTCCCACGGATTTTGAAGTAGCAGGTTTGCTTAGCTCCCAAAGTCATGCAATGTATCATCATATATATTACATATATCATAATACTCAATACATTTTTTTAAGCTGGACAAAGTTCTCTCAAAGTTTTCCTGTTGCTGACAATATAAGTTTTTCATATATACAATTCCAAACATAATGAGTGTGCTGGATATTATATTATGGATGTGATCCCACAGTGTCACAGCAACAGCACAGGATTATTTTTTTGGGAAAAAAAAAGTATGTCTGACTCAAATGACAGCAATTGAAGTTGTTTAAATTGCTGATAGGTAATGACTAAACTTTGGCTTGTGTATTTTTTTTTAATGCTTACCTGAAGATATGTTTAGATAGGAGAAGAGAGAGAGAGGGAGAGAGAGAGAGAGAGAGAGAGAGAGAGAGAAACATTGATGTGAGAGTGAAACATTGATTGGTTGCTTCCCATATGCGTCCTGACCGGGGATCAAACCTGCAATCTTTTGGTGCACAGGATGATGCTCCGATCAACCAAGCCAGCCAGCGAGAGCTTGTATATTTTTTTGGTCATTCTTTTAAGAAGTATAACGAATGGCAGGATAAAATGTTAGAATACCTCACTGAAGATATCCCCAGCGTATTTCGCGTGATTGACGGAAACGGAATCATTGGGCATCCATCCGATCCCACGCAACCATTCCAAGTCGGACTTGTAAATAGCCTGTGAAAAAAAGGTGGAGATAAAGTCAGAAATCCTACCCACAAGCCCTGTTTATTCTGTCCATTGGTCTGATGGAGAAATACAATTCAAGAATGATCTACTCAAACAGCCAGGCAGGTAACGTGTGAATTAATTAGGAAGCCATGTGGCAAAACTGAGTAACAAGCTGAGGGATATATTTTCTATTCAAGAGGGAGTAGCTTCCGTTCAGCTAGAGGTTATTGTCTGGGCTCAGGCACATTCAGAGCTTCCTCCTCTGACTTTTTAAGAGAAATAGATTTGTATACAAAAATTTCTGATCTAAAAATTCTGGCAACTTAATTCAAAAAGTTTAAACATTGTATCAACTAAAAAAGCATATCTGTGCCTACACCCTGTCCATGGACTGCCACTATTTTATTTATGATATAAACCTGTTGCTACTTAAATTCTATAGAAATCATATTTTCACCTTAATTGTCCTTACCCTGTAACAATTAAGGACTGTATTCACACTACAATTTATTTCTTTACACAAAGTCTAGATCCTTTATGACTTTGGTGATTTTGATACCATACTACCAGGTATAACTAAAACCAAATTCTTGGCTGTATAAAGACACGGAGATCTGATCCCAGGACTTAACGACATAAACTTTCTGGGAGTCCTGGCAAAATACAGAAGAGCTCATCCTAAAACGCAGCCCACTCACATCGCTTTGCAGTTCGTAGGCCTTTTTGGCCTGAATCACATCGTTCTGGTCGGGCAGGCATGTCCACTGGTGTAAGCGTTGGCGGTAATCGATGTCGCTGACCAGAACCTGGCAATTTTTAGAATGCAAGATGGAAAGCATATCCACAGGGCTTTGGAACTTAGTCTTGTATTTGGCCCAGTTCAGCCGATACTCTCGCTCATTCTGAAGCTTGCCAGCTATGAGGGCCCACCGGATCCTGTTGTCGTCCCTGGCGGTGAGGGTGCCCACGTAGTGGCCCTTCTGCTTCTCATGGTCAAGCTTGTATTTATACTGGAGACACACAAACAAAGCAGATGGGTCACAGCTTGTACTCGCAGTGCACCTAGGGCATTTGCTTACAAAACTGAGAAGTTAACCCAGGCCACACTCACATCACTGGCGATCTCTCGGGAAGCCTTGGCAGACTGTATAGGGATGGCATCCAGCCGCACGTCGCAGCTCATCTTCACTTCATCCCAACCCTCGCGGTAAATTTTCTGAGGAGAACAAAGGGTATCATTCCAGGTTCAAATTTACCAATAACTCCAAGGGCTCACGTAGAATGATCATCAGAGGGGTGCAGTTTTGAAGACCCAGAGCCAGTTAAAGAAAAGGGGATAGGTGCAAGAATCATTCTGCACCATGGTACTGAAATATAAAATCGTATCTGGAGTCCAAATATCTGAGATTGACCAGAGTTCTTTCTTTTTAATTTCAAGCATAGCCTCTACATAGCTGTAAATGGTTTATGTAAAAGAGTTGAGTTGCTTCTTGGATTGGTAGCTTTGGGATAAATTTCAGTTCAGACACGAATGGGCTAGTATTGAATTTCTTTATTTAATCATTTAATTTATTTAATTTAAAATTTCAATTCAATTTTGTAATCTTCAAAAGTATAAACTTTTTAAATTTGTGAGGCTTTCCCTCCAATGTGGTTCTTTTAGATTTAATGTGATTGATGGTACTCATTGTTTGGGAATGTTAGATG